CATGGGCCAATCTGGTGGAAAATATTATCCCGTAATTATTTTACTGGAGTATATACTCCGGGTATCCTTGGTGCTGCAAGTTGGAGACCCACTTGCTTTTAGCATCGTCTTTATGACACTCCGTGGTGGGTGGGGAGCTCTGATGATGAAAAATTATATTCAACATGGCTTATGAAACTCCCTCCAAAAAACCTTGAGAACGACGATGAACAGCAGCCCTCACAAACTATCGACTACTGGCCACGTTTCATTGTGATAGAGACTCTTGATACAACTCCTCTGAAATTAATCCCTTTGCACTGAGCCACTGGAGACACTGGATGATCATCAATCCTTGTTCGCCAGAATATTATCCATAGCCCTGTCACACGTAATACCAATCTCCAAGCCGTTGCAGTGCGACTTACTTTACATGTTACTTTTACATTATGCTCTCTATATATTCCGCCGTCTTCAACACTTGTACAGGCTGATCTTCAAACTTTCTACGACCAACTCCCAAAACCCTGTATTATAATGGGTGATATGAATGGCCACAACCCACTCTGGGGTGGTACACACACTAACACTAAAGGTAGAATACTTGAAGATTTTATCTCTAATAATGACCTGTAGACTCTAACCTCCTCAATGAATTTGAATGGTCAGTCCACAATGACCTCTGTGGAAGTGACCACTTTCCAATGATACTGTCAGAAATGTATCCTTCTGATTCTCCATCTTATATAAGATGGAATTTTCCCAAGGCAGACTGGTCCTTATTCCAAAATTTATGCACAATTAAATTACGACCTGAATGTTTCAGTGATATAGCTGATCCTATTCAGGTATTTTCTGACGTTTTATATGAAATGGCTGATGAGTGTTTACCAAAGTCCTCTACAAGTCCACATGTACGGAAACCGTGATTTAATACACATTGTAAGCAAGCCAGAAAAACGAGGAAAAAGGCAGAGAATTATTTGCGCCATCACCCAATTGTCCACAATTTAAATAAATTTAAAATACTCAATGCGAAGGCACGTCGTACCTTTAAACAAAACAAATGGCACTTTTGGAGGAACTATGTCTCCAAAATTAATTTACGTTTGTCAATATCCAAAGTATGGAACATGGTTAAAAGAATTAAAGGCAAAGGTTCAACATCTGCGGTTCACCATCTTAAAGATGGTGATAATTACTGATAAATCTACAATTGCAAATAAGATTGGCGAAACTCTTGCCAAGCATTCTTCATCAGCAAATTATGTCCCTGAGTTTCAGAGATATCAGAAACAGCAGGAAAAGACAAAACTTAATTTTGATTAAAGTAATGGTGAAGACTATAATGAAGTGTTTTCATTACAAGAGCTATATACAACCCTTGAGCAAGCTCATGACACTGCAGCGGGTGATGACAATATTCATTATCAGCTACTGAAACACTTGCCTGAACTATGTCTAGTCACACTTTTAGATATATTTAATAAGATATGGACGTCTGGAAAGTTTCCTCCTTCATGGCGTAATGCCATTGTAGTCCCTATACCCAAACTGGCCGGGATCATACTGATCCTTCCAATTACAGACCAATATCTTTAACCAGCTGTGTCTGTAAAACCATGGAACGTATGGTGAATAATAGATTAATTTGATATATCTGGAAACCAATAACGTTCTTACAAATATTCAATGTGGTTTCAGGAAAAATTGTAGTACCATTGATCATTTGGTACGCTTAGAATTCTTTGTCAAAAATGCAATAGTAACTAAACAACATGCTGTATCATTTTTCTTTGATCTGAGAAAGCTTATCTTACGACCTAGAAGCAATGCATTTTGAAGTATTTACATGACTTTGGATTGAGGACGAGTCCGAGTGGGTTCTACCATGTCTGACCATTACAATCAGGGTGTCCCACAAGGCAGTATTATGTCTGTCACTTTATTTAGCATCAAGATCAACAGTTTATCCAAGGTTTTAAACGATTCAATAGATGTATCACTTTTTGTGGATTATTTTAATATTTCTCGTCGCAGTAAGAATATGCATACTATTGAACGGCAACTGCAAATGTGTTTAAATAAAATAAATAAATGGTGTCTTGAAAACGGCTTTAAATTTTCTAAGTAAAAAACTAATCGTCTACACTTCTGTAGAAAGTGTAAGCCTCATAAGGAGCCAGAACTATCTTTAAATGGCACTCCCATCAAAGTTCTAAAGGAGGCCAAGTTCTTGGGTCTAATTTGTGACTCCCATTTAACTTTTTGGCCGCATATTAAATCACTTAAAGCCAAGTGCCTGAAGGCAATCGATTTGTTAAAGTTGTTTCCAACTCAAAGTGGGGTGGGATCAAAGTACCCTCATCCACCTATATCGATCATTGGTCCCCTCGAAACTTGATTACGGCTCTATCGTATATGGTGGTGCCTGCAAAAGCAACCTAAAACTACTTGATTCTGTCCACCACCAAGGCCTAAGACTTTGTCTTGGGTCCTTTAGAACCTCTCCTATTGACAGTCTCTACGTCGAGGCCGATTAGCCATCTCCTACACAACGTCGTATTAAATTGTCCTTGCAATATGTAACAAAACTTTATCCAACGAGTCTAATCCTGCATTTAACTGTGTCTTTAGTCCTCTTTATCAGGATTTGTACAACAAAAAGCCTTCTCTTGTTCCGCCTCTTGGTTTAAGAATTAAACCATTCATTTCTGCTGCCGCAATTGAGCTGGAAAATATAGCTCCTTCCCGTTTTCTTTCCTTTCGGCCTTGGCAACTGGTGAGGCCTGAAGTTGACCTAACTCTGACAAAGTTTAAGAAATCTGAAACTAATGAATTACAATATAAACAAGAATACAATCAATTACACAATACATACAATATATACAAATCCTTATTCACAGATGGGTCCAAGGATGGAGGCGCGGTGGCATGTGCCATTGGATCCAGAACAATATCTTCTCGAATATAAAATAACAGCTCTATTTTCACAGCAGAAGCAAACGCCATATTAACAGCTCTTAAATATATTAACAAACACCGTAAATATAAACAATACATAATCCTTTCCGATTCTCTTTCGTGTCTTCAGGCTATTAAAAATCTTTCTTGTAAACATCCACTTTTATTAGAATATAATGAACTTGCAACTGACCAATACGACATCGTCTTTTGTTGGCTACCCAGTCACGTTGGCATTTCTGAGAACACAATGGCCGATGTTGCTCCTTAGGCAGCACTCGATAAATCTGTGACACCACTTCTTATTCCATATTCCGATTAGAAGGCTAGCATTAGAACCTACATCCGTCATCTGATGCAAAGAAGTGGGACACCCAAGTAGGTATTAACAAGTTACATGAAATAAAACCCTATATTGGTTACACCTCCTTGGGTTATCAGTCCAGATTTGAAGAGGTCATTTTGCGACGATTTGGTATTGGCCACACCAGGTATACTCATGAATATTGATTAAAAGGCGAAGATCCTCCGTTTTGCATCCCATGTGATGAAAGGATCACGGTCAAGCATGTCCTGCTTGGCTGCATTGATTTTTCCATTACAGGGGATAAATATGTTCATGTCAAAACAATTAAGGATATTTTTAATAATGTTTATTATCATTTCATAATTGAATTTTTAAAGGAAATAGAATTATTGCAAAAATTTTGAATAATATGTTTTGTAAATAGATAAATGGTATTTTAAACATGGTAGTATAAAGTAGCAGCTGCGATTGTTAGTGGCTGTATCCTCAAAAGTATTGTAAAATTAAAGTATTGTAAAATTATTGTCCTCCTGAGAGGGTACGTAAGTCCCAAACACTTTCAAAGTCAATTTCGCACAACCATACTTTTTAATCGTAGTATTTCTATCATTTTAACTTTCGGCTAAGTCTTCCTACATCGCCAGCGGCTGAAGGGATGATGTAAATCTAGCTAGGGTCCATGAAGGTAGCAAAAGTAATGTAAGTCCCCATGGTTCCTAGTATGGTGTTCTAACTTCAGTTGTTGGCGATCTATAGCCCGTGTTTTATATTGTATTGTCTTCTTTAATTAAAATCTTTTAGTTTGACATGCTACTTTTATGTTCATATATGTGATATTCTAGTATTTTTACTGTCCATCGTCGACAGGTTTTACTCTCTAAAATGTTTCATTTTTAATTGTATAAATAGGTTTCGTCACGATATGGCTGAGATATTGCTGATGTGACGTTAATAGTAACTCACTCACTCACTTTATACTCGGAAATCCAGTAAATTTAAACTTACTATGGTTGTAACTGCAGTATATATGTTATTCCAATGTCACTGCTGGATTGTCAAAATTGCTGACAGCTGAAGGGGTAGTGCTGGGGTACATGCAGGAAGCAAAAGTACTGTAAGTCCCCATGGTTCCTAGTATGGTGATCTACCTTCGGTTGTTGACAATCTATAACCTGCTTTTATATTGTATTGTCATCTATAGTTACAATGTTTTAGATTATAATACTAGTTTTACACACATCCATTACATATACACATACATACATACATACATACATACATACATACATACATACATACATACATACATACATACATACATACATACATACATACATACATACATACATACATACATACATACATACATACATACATACATACATGCATGCATGCATGCATGCATATGCATCTAGTTGTTTTACTGTCCTTCCTTGGCACACATATTATATATATATATATATATGTGTGTGATATATTCTAGTTGTTTTACTGTCCTTCCTTGGCAGGTTTTATACTTTACCTATAATTGTTATTAATATATAACTTGATATAGTCACGATATGGCTGAAATACTGCCGATGTGACTTGAAATCTTAACTCACTCACTTATACACTCACTTTATACACAGGCTACTTGCTGAAAGGGCACTTGCACTGGTAATTGCTGAGCCTAGCTCATGATAAACAGGCTACTTGCTGAAATGGGATCCTTAACCAGTCATAGATGCACTAAACTCTTTATATACAGGCTACTTACTGAAAGGGGCCCCTGAACCAGTGATGATGGAGGCCATGATCCTGTTGCTTCTGGTGACTTCAGCAGCCACTGGTATGTTAGCTGTAAATATTAATGTGCATTTAACTGTGCAGCTCATAAAAGACCACGATTGAAATAGGATATTGTACTAACACTACTTCTGTTCACCAAATGTCAATTTCTAATTTACTTCTGTCACCCAGTGGCACATACTGCCAAGGTGACTTGTATTTCCTTAAATCAACATATTTCAAATGTTTTTTTACATAATTCACATACAATGAAGGTGCAATGGAGGGAAGGATATTTCCTTTAACCGACATATGTCTATTTACTTTCACTGACACCAAAAGTTGCGGTTGGGGGAAGGATATTGTGTCCAGAAATCGGTCTGCTTGGAGCTCCCACAAACCTGACCTGCATAGAAGCAAGTAGACACCTCTCCTTCATAACACCCAATGGACACTCAACAGCAGCATGTGATACATCAACTGGACATTGCATACCCAATGGCAACTTCTCAGCGTCTGTCATTAATACCACCTCCAGTGTTCTCACCATAACTGCCTTGATGAAATCACACGCTGGCACCTGGAAATGTAGCAATGATGGCGATTTGCCCGATCCTCCTAGCTGCAATATGACTGTGGCAAGTAAGTAGACATCATGAGCATGTGTTTGTTGTTGTCCTGGCTGCCAGATGACTGTGGCAAGTAAGTAGACATCATGTACACGTGTTTGTTGTTGTCCTAGCTGCCAGATGACTGTTGCAAGTAAGCAGACATCATGTAAACGTGTTTATTGTTGTTTTCTTAGCTGCCTGATGACTGTGGCAAATAAGTAGACATCATGTACAGGTGTTTGTTGTTGTCCTAGCTGCCCGATGACTGTGCCAAGGAGGTAGATATCATGTACACGTGTTTGTTGTTGTTTTCTTAGCTACCTGATGACTGTGGCAAGTAAGTACAAAATCATGTACACGTGTTTGTTGTTGTCCTAGTTGCCTGATGACTGTGGCAAGTAAGTAGACATCATGTACACATGTTTGTTGTTGTCCTTGCTGCCAGATGACTGTGGCAAGTAAGTAGACATCATGTACACGTGTTTGTTGTTGTCCTGGCTGCCAGATGACTGTGGCAAGTAAGTAGACATCATGTACACGTGTTTGTTGTTGTCCTGGCTGCCAGATGACTGTGGCAAGTAAGTAGACATCATGTACAGGTGTTTGTTGTTGTCCTAGCTGCCAGATGACTGTGGCAAGTAAGTAGACATCATGTACAGGTATTTTGTTGTAGTCCTAGCTGCCAGATGACTGTGGCAAGTAAGAAGACATCATGTACAGGTGTTTGTTGTTGTCCTAGCTGCCAGATGACTGTGGCAAGTAAGTAGACATCATGTACAGGTGTTTGTTGTTGTCCTGGCTGCCAGATGACTGTGGCAAGTAAGTAGACATCATGTACAGGTGTTTGTTGTTGTTCTAGCTGCCAGATGACTGTGGCAAGTACGTATTCATCATGTACACGTGTTTGTTGTTGTCCTAGCTGCCAGATGACTGTGGTAAGTAAGTAGACATCATGTACAGGTGTTTGTTGTTGTCCTGGCTGCCAGATGACTGTGGCAAGTAAGCAGACTTCATGTACACGTGTTTGTTGTTGTCCTAGCTGCCAGATAAATCTGGCAAGTAAGTAGACATCATGTACACATGTTTGTTGTTGTCCTGGCTGCCAGATGATTGTGACAAGTAAGTAGACATCATGTACACGTGTATGTTGTTGTCCTGGCTGCCAGATGACTGTGGCAAGTCAGTAGACATCATGTACACGTTTTTGTTTTTTTCTTAGCTGCCTGATGACTGTGGCAAGTTAGTAGACATCATGTACACGTGTTTGTTGTTGTCCTAGCTGCCAGATGTCTGTGGCAAGTAAGTCGACATCATGTACACGTGTTTGTTTTTCAAGCTGTCACATGACTGTGGCAAGTAAGTCGACATCATGTATACTTGTTTGTTGTTGTTCTAGCTGCCAGATGACTGTGGCAAGTAAGTAGACATCATGTACACGTGTTTGTTGTTGTCCTAACAGCCAGATGTCTGTGGCAAGTAAGTAGACATCATGTACAGGTGTATGGTGTTGTTCTTGCTGCCAGATGTCTGTGGCAAGTAAGTAGACATCATGTACACGTGTTTGTTTTTCAAGCTGTCACATGACTGTGGCAAGTTAGTCGACATCATGTACACTTGTTTGTTATTGTTCTAGCTGCCAGATGACTGTGGCAAGTAAGTAGACATCATGTACACGTGTTTAATGTTGTTCTAGCTGCCAGATGACTGTGGCAAGTAAGCAGACAAGTGTTTATTGATCTTCTACCAAACAATGACACGTTGTAGGCACCTTCATCAGGTGTATGCACACTACCGAATCCTGCTAGACAAGCAGTGGCATGTTAGTTAACGCTTTGGAGAAAGTGTGTTTGTGAGAAACGAATATCTCTTTCGTGGTCGAGCAGAAAGATTAACTGCCTACAGAGTGGAAGGTAAATTGTACAGTATAAAGTTGCAGCAGGGAGTCAGTAACATCTTTAGGTGGTACCTTGTCGGGTCAGCGTTACCAAACCGCCATTAATGTAGAGAAAATATATTCTTAAATGCGATGATTAGGCCATTTTTTGCTTCAACTCACCATTCCAAAGTTAAACACAAAATGAATGTAGTCACACGCTCAGTGTTTATATGAAAGGAAATGATGATCTCTTGCATGGTCTAGTGGATAGGGTGACCGTCGGGGGTCCATATTACTGGTTCAATCCACAGCTGTGTTACGCCGCAGTACACTGAATGGTGTGTGCTAGCAGTTGTACATAAACGTGCACATGTCACAGTCAATGTGTAAAATCAGGCAATTTGTTAATTGTCAGAATTTACTGCATTGTGGGGCATGGTGCTCGAGCTGTCAAAGTCAAAGTCAAAAGGAGTTTATTTGTAATGAGGCGAAGGGCCCATATACAAGATATAACTATTGTCCGTTTGGATCAAAAGCGGACCGATGAACTGTAATCTAACTCGAAAACTAATAAACATATAATACTCATGAAACGATGATCATAAAAGAAAACATCAGACCAACTCGGTGATTTTTTTGCAGAATTTATGTCCTGAAAAAAGTTGTTTAATAAACCATCATTAAAATATTGACACGGTTCACTGTTTGTTACGAGGGAGGAGTGCAGAGAAAGGGACAGTAATGTGTACGTGAAGCAAGTGCACAAGTGCCGAAAAAGTTACTGATTCATTTACTTGTGCTTTGCCGTCTCCATCCTTTCCCGCACACCTGGCTGTGAACTGTGTAAATATTGTAATGGTAGTTTGTTAAACAACTTTTTTATTTTCAGGACACAAATTCTGCAAAAACTCACAGAGTTGGTCTGATGTTTTGATTATGATCAGCGTTTCATTGAGTATTAAATGTTTATTAGTTTTCGAGTTAGATTGCAGTTCATCGGTCCGCTTTTGATCCAAACGGACAATAGTTATATCTTGTATATGGGCCCTTCGCCTCATTACAAATAAACTCCTTTTGACTTTGACTCAACAAATAAATGTGTTGTGGTCAACAGAATAAACCAATCTGTTCCAATCACATAACCTTATCAGACAATTTACAAACTGACTGAGTGAATCAGGCAATTTACAATTTGTAAATTTCGTGATTTTATTCACTGGCTGTAACACTTACACGTTACTTTATTAATACAATATTCCTGCCCAGGAAGCTGAAACCTAGTTCCCCATCGTTCAAACTTTGAACCTGCAAACTGAGGAAATTATGACTTTCTTTTTCATGGTCCACTTCAATCACAAAGAGTGGAGGAAAACAAGCATATGCTTACTGCGTTGATTTGTTTCAGAATGCCCAACATGCACCATAACAAGCTGGCAGAATGATGACAGTAACTTCACTGTGGACGAAGAAGTGGCGTTGAAGGTGAACGTAACTGGAGACTACTGTTCTGAGTCGGCCCTGTTTCAGTTGCAAACAGGAAACATTAAAACGGCTTTGAACTACTCACAATGGAAGGAGAACACAGATGTCATATTCACTCTGACTGAGTCCCACCTCGGGGAAGTGAAACTGGTCTTCATCTGTGGAGGATACAGCAAAGCGTTATCATGTGAAGGGATTCAAGAACTGAAAGAGAGTAATACATTTTGAATATTTAAGACAGGAACTTCATAATAATGCGTGGATAATGATATCAGGTGGTAGGAGGATGAGACATGGCAGACAACGATGTTTTTTAATGGCAATCATTTAATTAGTCAAATTTTATTAAAAGTACCAGGACCTGCCAATATGCAAAATATTTATAATTGAACAATTTACATAATGCAATAGCATCAGGCACCATATTGCATGATTGGAACCAATTTCAATCTTTAAATTACTTTAAATTTATGTAACCCAATATTGAAATCCAATTCAGTCTTACGCATAGAGAGTAGTTGTTAGGTTCTATACTCCTTGGTAGGATCATACTGTCTAAGTATTTTGTTCTGAATTAGATTAAAGTTTTCCATTACCATTTTTTGCGTAAATCATGGACTGTGTCAACATAAATAATGCATTGAGTGAAATTATATTCTTTGTTTTGAATCCAAACAATATGCCATCGTAACTAGAACCAATATGTGACTTGTTATTTTCCAGGAATTGTTCCCTCTTCTACGGATAGGGCAGGGACCTCGACACTTGCACCAGTGACGGAAACGTTAGTTTTTATAGCTCCTGTTTGCATTGTCAGCGTTCTCCTTGTCTTGGTCATTGTAATCTTCTTGTACAAGCGACGTCACAGACATCGTACGTCAAAGATGGTAAATGCACTCCATAGTCTCGTGTCTCGTGACGCAGAATTTTCAACCATCTGCGTCGTGGAGGGAGCAGTTTCTTGGGCAAATATCACGAACAGATCACTTCCACCTACACCGGGTGTTCAAGATACCGTTACAGATCCTGGTTACGCCGCCGTGGCAGAAGGCGCTGTCAGCATGGCAGAGACACCTACAACAGATACAGCGTGTGCTGAAGGATCAAACCCGATTGCTAATCCTGATGACATGCTGATGCACGTTAAGTCAGCCCTATCAGCTCCCGATGGAGATTCTGGGGACTCCATAGGGATGTGTGACATCGACAGAAGGTCAACGTCGCCTCCTCTATTTGAACCTGGCATTGAAGGGAAAAACACATTTGACAATCCTGATAGCAAAATGTTGCACTCTGAGTCTCTGAGTCAATCCATTCTGTTTGAGGATCCAGGGTACTCTTCTGTCATTGTAACAAGGTCAAGGTCAATCTCAGCAAGGGGTTCTTGCACAAAAGGAACCAGCCCAGATGTAATACCTGAGGATACTCTCGTGAATGACTGCAATGGTGCTGCACCAGATGTGTCTGAGCTGTATGCCAAGGTTGTTAAAACAAAAGACATAACAGAGCCAGAGGTGTCTGGCGTTTCAGTGGTTGTGCTAAAATAGTATGTGACACATAATTCCAGGCCTTAATCGTTCATGTTTATTTGTGGAATTCATGCTAGCATTATTACATGATCTAACAAAACTTCAAACTTATGTAAATATGTAAAAGAAGCACTTTAAGCGTTACACGTGATCATGAGCAATATGTGTCTCACAAGCTAAAGATGTTGTTTGCTTCATGCTTCCCACCACTCTCTCTGATGTTTACTCAAAGAGCCCACCTCACGTGTGGTCTGCCAGGTACATGCCCAGCTTTGGCACATGCAGACCCTAAGATTGTTCTAGATACTCATCTCGTCAGTGCCGTCTGTAAAGGGTGCATGTACCTGTGGCCCAGTTACACACCATGTTGGACCTGTATTGCAGTGTCACTTGTCTTCAAAGACGCTGTAATTCTCTGTACAAAGTTGACCACATGAGCACAATAGAAAACTGTGTTTGAATCCTGATTCGCCCCGAGCACACTCCCAGGTTGACAGTATCACAGAGTGGTCAACGACTGAAACCTGCATTTCTTCGGGCTTCCCTCCAACATTCAGCTGTCATGTTCTGCTATAACTGTTTTAATGTCGCGTTAAACCCAACTTACACATTCAATTTCCTGTATTTGTGAAAAAGAACTTTTTCGAATAACAATGCTTCCTCTTAATAAAACATATTAACATACAACAGATGTTAAGTGTTGTGTTGGTTCTGAGGTCTGTCACAATAAAAGAGTGAGTGAGTTTAGTTTTACGCCGCATTCAGCAATATTCCAGCTATATGGCTGCGGTCTGTACATAATCGAGTCTGGACCAGACAATCCAGTGATCAACATCATGAGCATCGATCTGCGCAATTGAAAACCGACACAATGAAGGAGATATAATAAAATAATTTGAAGAATTCACCCCAATCCTAACTGTGACGGCTCTTGTTTCTATTATTGCCATCACCACTACTAACACTGCTGTTCTTGTTTACTTCCTGGTTTACCCACCAGATCTAAACCAAGAGACCCAATCTCTTCCATGTAACCGTTCATAATGGCACAACACCCTCTGCTGTGACAAGGGGTCTACCTTTAAGGACAGTCAACTTTCACTTTATGAACATTGTTCCTGCAGATCCAGTCTTTGATGTCCACATTTAATAACATTTGACCAATCAACCATGCAGTTGTCACCAATACTTTAATGAGCGGCACACGATTCTTGCTCTGTAGTTGCTTGATCATATGACGACGTGCATGCGTGTGTATGTGTATGTGCGGCTGCTTGTCCTAGCCCAGACTGAAGCTGGTTTTATAGTGCTAGCCCACTGAGATACCATGCTGCAGTGAAGCATGAATACCCCACTCAGACACATTATACTGACTCCGAGTGTTGTACCCATTAATGCCGAGCGCCAGACAGGGACCAACAAGTACCATATTTTAACGTCTTTTTGGTATGACGCGGTCGGGGATCGAACCCGCGACCTTCCGCTCTCCGGGCGGACGCTCTAACCACTACACCACTGATGCGGTCTACTAAATATGAACACAAATAAAACAAATGAGCCTGCTCTTGAATTAAGTCGTTTGACAAACATAAGTTAGTTGAAATTTCAGCAATGTCATCGAAATTTAGAAAGAACAATCACATACATCAAAATCAGATACATTATCTTAGGAAAGGCAGTGGGAAAATATTGATTCTTTCAGTTGCATTATATGCCCACGAAAAGTATGGCCAAAAAGGCTATAAGGACTGAAACCTGAGTGAGTGAGTGAGTTCAGTTTTACGCCGCACTCAGCAATATTCCAGCTACATGGCGGCAGTAGTAGTAGTGAGTGAGTTTTACGCCGCAATATTCTAGCTATATGTCGGCCGTCTGTAAATAATCGTGTCTGGACCAGACAATCCAGTGATCAACAGTATGAGCATCGATCTGCGCAATTGGGAACCGATGACATGTGCCAACCCGATCCCGTTAGTCGCCTCTTACGACAAGCATGGTTTACTGAAGGTTCATTCTAACCCGGACCTTCACGGGTTCTCACTCACAGCGAAGAACAACAGATTATATGGATGCCTTTATCTGAGTCCTCCTCCCCATGGTCCCTAGTATGGTGATCTACCTTCAGTTATTGGCCATTTATAGCCCATTTTTATACTGTATTGATTTCCCCTATAGTTAAAACGTTTTAGATTTAATTACTAGTTTTACATACATATCTGTGATATTCTAATTGTTTTACTGTCCTTCGTCGGCAGAGTTTTTATAATATACATATATTTCATTTCAATATCAAATGTTCCCGTCACGATATGGCTGAAATATTGCCGATGTGACGTTAAATATTAACTCACTCACTCACTCACTGAGTCCTCCTCAGTTTCAAAACAATAAGTGCTTATCATATTCTTAAGAGTCAGAAGGTATCTTTCTAAAGCTCCACGAGATCCAAGAAGATAAGCACTTGATGTAACCTGAGTTGTATCTAGCTGATGCATAGACTGTCCGATCTGTCTGAATAGTCTTAGCCAAACACAGTGAAGAACTTCACCAAAGCCTTGATAAGGACCCGAGTCATAACTTTCCATAAAGAAACAGCACCTGGCAAGCTCATGGAAGGGCACATAAAAGTAAGTATGTACTGGATGTCTGATGTAGTTTGAGGCAAAGCACCAAAATGCTATTTCCTCATGCTATCCTTGAAATAACAGCAAACTGGGGCCATGTCAGCTTCTTATGAAGAGAGTGCCCTATGGGCAAAAACTGTGAACCCTGTGTTTTCACCCTGCTGCTTAGTCGACTGCTCCCTGTCCAGAAATGCGTCCTCAATAGCCAATTTGTAATTATTTTGAGTACTGTTCCTCGAACATTTAGACAGGTCACCCGTGAAAGTGCCAACCAATTGCTATCTGGAATTAGAATATTCTTAGAATGTTTACTTAGCTTAAGTAGCAACACAAGAAGGATCAATAACTGGAATTTCCTTTTCAATATTTTTCAGTAGTTTCAGAAAAGCTAGGCTCATGACAGGATCAGACAAATATTGCCGCCCTAACAAATCACTCTCAATGAGCAAGTATGCTTATATAACCCCCACCTTGACCAACCTAGACACCAAGGTCAGTCTTCAAATTAATAAAATAGAGAAGTGCACTTGGAGAGTCCCATAACCATCAAGTTAGACTGAATTGATAGTCTCTCTTTTCCTTGGAAGCCAGGTAGTCGTTCCTGATTTGCATGAGACTTATCGATTTAGTATAAGTCCAATGTCTCCCAGACGACATGTTATACCTTGGATATACTGTATAAAACGAGTGTCATGGTGTCATAGAGGTAAGTATGATCTTATCAGATCAGTTGTGAAATATGTGGAGGTTCGAGTGTACCCGTAATTCAGTTTATCTATGTATATACGGGAGGCATCCACATGTAAACGCAATAGATCTGTTCGGGCAGTGTGAGAAGTGGTTCTCATGGAACGAAACAACTCCTTTATCGATCTGTGCATACCTTCGTTCGGAAAAGGACTCAGGTGAAAAGAAGAAGTCCTAACATGGGATGCGAAATCATGCAACATGGCCTAATATCATATACTCATGCCAATAATGGTTGTCACCCCCTTCAATTGTTTTAATTGGTGGGGTGGGGTGTGGGGGGTTTGGGGTGGGAGGGTGGTGACAACCATTATTGGCATGAGTATATAATTCATTAGCTACCTGAAACTAGACACCCGTCACCACTTCACTTCAAATTGGATACATATATATATGTCTTGGTAATGACGGAACATAGTGAATACAAAACATGACACTGTGACCACATTACTGTTGTGGATCTGTTTACTGATCGGTAAGGTGACACTTTAGTAAATGGATCAAGAGGTGAAATACTGAAGGTGCTCTGTTATTGGGACTGTACAGTTATGGTTACCGTCGCCTTATTTCCGTTTTGCATATGCGCAGTAGAAACTCTGCACTTCTACAAAGCAGCCATGATGTACATGGGGCGAACGGAACACTTTGTTTGGAAAATGGTCCAAAAGGCGAAATGGTGAAAGTACATGTTCATGTATGCCCTGATCGGATTGTCAGGGATTTCCAAACATGAATTGCAAAACAGATAACCCGGTAAATACATGATCATACAGTATTTCCAATGCATTCCTTTGAATTTCAATGGGTGCTGAAATTTCCGATTTCGTTCTAAGTTTACTCGGGTTGGAAACATGTGAATTTACTTAGGTGGGGAAACACATGTAAATTTTCAAATTTGCAAATATTTACACACCTTAGATATTTATGTATCATACCGGATTTCATGGGTATGTATATGAACGGTTCATACACCTTCATGTTACCTGTGCTCAAGCAAGATGAGCATATGTTTCCATCATGTGAATTACTTGGTTCATGTTATTTCATTTTCACACATTTTAGTAAGTTTGAAATCAACGCTCACATGACCTCAATATTCTTATCACCAAAAGGGCCTGACAAAGAAAGCAGTATTACGCAAGCTAACACGCCTTATTAAGTTGCACTCGCTCTTGCTACCAGTATCAGTTACGCCTTGTCTGTGGTGTTTGCAAATCTTGTGAGGTGCGAGGGATTAAAAGGTTCAGTGGTGAACAAAGGGCGATGCCCCTTTGTCCTCGCAAGTGTCCCTAGCTGTCCCAATAGAATAGCAATTTGTCTCTCTTGGATCACAGCCAAATACTCCACACGTAACAACTCGTAATTTCTTAAGTCTGTTCAGCTCGCGCATCACTACTGTAAAATATTTTGTGGCAGTACATAATTGGAATATTATTGCACTGCATGTGACCTTCCTGGATAGTCTCACAGTGCCTGAAAAATGTTATTTCTCCATTCGCTCAGCCTTTGCTGTAATAACGCCATACATAAACTTTATAGTTGTCCACATTTGTTTCACTAACGAAAAAGTATACGATAACAAACAATGCCATATCAAATTATATATTTTGTGAGACATGAAATGAAAAATTGTTTTCATCGTGTAGCGATTATGACCGGATAGCACAAGCGGGTGCTTTCTCTGAGTATATCATTGGCATGTTGGATCTCCGTGGCTTTTCTAAATTCGTCTATATTGTCCTGTTTAAACTGACGATCCATAACTCAGATTGCGAGTAAATATCACGTAAGTAATTGTGATGTCGCATTGCTGTAAATTTCCCTGTCGGAGAAGTCATTCTCACAAGATATATATTCCCTTGTGTGGAGAAGGTCTATGGCTATTACGCCCCAGTGTTGCTAAACACCTTGTAGGCCTTTAGTCTGACACAGACGCAGACCTCGCATGTTCAAGTTCGGATCTGACAGGGGCTGAAAATATCATTCCGACATGAATACAATTTTCTCAGTGTCTTCCTAAGTAAGTGGAATGCTTTCTGCAACATTGGAAATAACTGTATCGTTGTCCTTCTGATATTCCCCCGAACGGAAGCTCTACCCATTTAGGGTACAATGTGTAAGTTACAGAATTGTAGGGAATAGTTTTAAGACTTTTCTACTTTGACCAGGATTCTTCGAACTTGTAACAGTCGTTTGAGAAGATCCAAATAGAAAAGGGTAGTGCGCGATGTATCTGACGGACGTAAATTGAGAACGTTCGAAGAACTTTATAAATACAATAATAGAAATACCGGTTATGTTTAAAACGTACCCTCAATCTGATAGACAGAGGGATTATTGTGAAAGATCGCAGTATGTATCATCCTAAACGGGCCAAGATAAAAGTACATGTCATTCATCCCCACATTATATCCCTTTTATAGACACGGGACATCGTTGTTACAGGTAGGGCAAACACTTTCTTCTAAAAGTATCTGCCGGTTTCACGCTACATACATGTGTTCAGATTATCGAGAAAACTAGCGAGGCAAGTTCTCCTCCATCACACCAGAGACCATATAATCTATCATATGGCCTTTGATCACACATATAATAGTCTAGATACCCAGTGTTTATTGATAGCGATGAAGCAACTTATCAAAATTTACGGCCGACAGTATCATCTGCATTACTCTCTTACATAAGGTGAAATATCACAGGGTTGTCATGGTAACGATAACTTGGCATACTATTTATTGTGTTATTCTTTAATCTGCGAATAGACGTGAGCATGTTAAGAAAAGAGAAGCTGTAAAATGAAATGTATTGTGATCCAACCTATAGGCCTTTTTGAAAGCGAGTTTCAAGCCACCTACATCAAAACCTGTTCTCATAATAAATATCTGCTAATCCGTGGCACGATTCCTACCATATCATGGGCAATTGTTTGTGAATCATAATCAAATAGTGATGTTACAAGGCGTCCATGCCGCGTCAACAGCACATGCAAACAGGGGCGTAGCTACCATTATAAAAAACAGCTCGAGATTACACATGAACTTTGCTAAAACATCATTTTTCTTCTAATTCTTGCCAAAAATACCTACAAACACGTTCCATTTAAAAAGTGGAAATCCCTCTATGAATCATATTGACTACAGTATTTTTTGATTAAAGCATTACCATGTACAGTAAACAGGTTATTCTTCATATCATAACTTTCAGTGATGATTGTTTTTCCATCGACATGTATGAGGATGTTTTGTTACAGTCATGATTATATGTGAATCATCACTGAAATGCAGTTGTTTATTTTTCATTTGTTTATCATTTATTTTAGAATAGAATACCAAATTCTCGATGTATAGTATTGTAGCAGACATGTGTAAACTATGTCCAAACATATTTGTATATGAGGAAATCACATTTCAATTTCCATGGTGGTAAGACTTCTGTCCGTATCCCCCCTAAATTTTAACGAAGAAAGAAAACTTTCTTTGAGTGACATTTTTAGAAGTAGAATATGTCTTTCGGTATTTCAGGTACAATTAACAAAACACGTTAAAACTCATCCTTATCAGATGAGGAATATATATTCAGGTGATATGATTTGACTAGAATGAAATTTAAGGGGGGATACAGGCGAAAGACTTTCAACAATATTTTGAAGCTATTGAAATCATCAAACGTCAAACGATAACTCTTCAGGTCTCATAAAAAAATGAAAGTTGGGCAAGCCCTCAATACCACCTAAATAAAAGGCTTTGCATCCCATAGGGCTTACACGAAAAAATTGGCTTGCTACGCGCCTGGCAAACGCACGAGAATTGCAATACGGGCCTCTAACCACTGATTCTCCGTGACCTGGAGACACATGTCACTGAGCGTATGTTGGGACGTCGTCTGTCATACAGACCCTGAAGCAAATATATCCAAGCCCACGCAAGTCTACAAAATGTGGCAAGTCTAGATTTCCACAGCTTCAGGAGAAAGTCTCAGGGCTCCTTTTCATTATATTATATATATTTTTTTTACTATGAACTTTTTTCTGTAAAATATACTGTATATGTTCATATCAGAGTAATATGTTAATCTAGTTCTGACGGGTAGAAGACAAACGACAAAATGGACACTAGTGCTGTTACATTTTTTAAATTATATATAAACATTCGTCCTTGTCTCGGGATAAATGTATATTTCCCACCAAATGTACATTTGGAGGATATCGAAATCTAGGTTAAGCTATTTGAATCATATTTACAATGAAAAGACCCAAACAATGGTTTGTTGTCCAATGGTTTGGTTTTCCATATCTTGTCTCAGTCTGTATCACAGTCACAGAACGATATTTTTCCCCCTTCTGTCTCTAGCAAAACTCACTGCAGGGTTCGGGTTTTAGAGTGCCATACCAAACAATCACAGCTGGCGGGACCAACATCTCCAGTAAAATTTACATCTGCCAACGCTTAAATGGCAAGTGGTGAGGCAATAAGCTAATGAGGCTAAGGGTCCTGTACCATGTTTGTGAAATATCTATGATGCCTTATATGAAGTCTATTATCTAAGTAAGTCTAGCTATGTATGGCGTTAAGTCACTGCTTGAAGAAAGGTTGTTTTAGTATTTAGGCTGAATATTAGTATTTCCGTCATATTGGAAAATACATAGACTAACGCTCAGTGTCTGAATATATATAATTTTGATAGTAACAAAAAAACCCATTTAAAATGAAAAAGAGCCCCACGGAGACACGAGATTCAGTCCGGCACGCCATGGCAGTTGTTTACTTTGTAACCCGACCCCCAGATGTTAACAGACCCTGGACCTGAGGAGATCTAGACTTGCTTCATTTAAGACTTTAGCATTGCAGAGAGGGCTTAGCAGTAGGGAAAATAATGTGGTTCAGGGACTGTGAGACAGACTAAGCAGTAAGGAAAATAATGTGGTTCAGTGACTGTGAGACAGACTAGAAAATGCATGGCAACCTACTTTTCATTGTGACTATGATTAAGGCATCATTATAAAACACAAGGGTTATTTCCTTTGCGTTAACTGACAGGCTTTCGGTGTCAAATTATTTGGAACTCCGGCCAAAGGTGATGTTATGATGTCTGGAAATATGGCCTATTTGTAATGCTTTGGTTGCACATAATGATAAGTGATTGTTGTACATATGATGTTTTTGAAGGATAATCTCAGCTGACTAATACTTTGCACGTGTTTCCCCCACTCTTTCCATACCCGTAAAAGTTAATTTTCCATATATATTACTGTAAGAAAATACTGTAGAGTAATGGGATGGCTGAATTTGGCCACCTGAGGTGACCACAGCACTCGGGTTATACTGCATTGAGAGAGGACAGAGCTTGGCAAGATACCAATAAATATGCTTGTCATTTAAACCTTTATCTGATGTTTGTGGAATGTGATTTTATAATTGAAGATGCTTCCTGCGCCTGTAGCCCCAATATAGATGTTAGTCTGTGAATCTTCCAAATTACTTCGTCTCTTTTTTTTCTATTGAAATTAAGATCTTTGCCTTTTATCAAAATAATATATTTTCAGTCTTAATGTGCCTGTGTCGGGAATCAAACACCGGTTTTTGACCTGACAGGCGAACGCTTTTACCACGAGCGTACCCCATCATTCCTTGATACTGTTAAAGAATATATATTGGTACATTAATTATACATTCAAGATTGAACCCAGTTTTGTCCCCATCTATCCTTCAGTTTTTTTGTTAGTACTTGATAATTTGATGCACACTGATAATTTAAAAGAGGAATATAAATAATGATTGTTTGCGATCTTTATCTAATTTAGTTTTCCATTTATCTAGTAATTTTCAGTTTCTATTTCCTGGAAATTCTGTACGGAGGTACTTTTTACAGTTTCACCCAATAACAGTAAAGCATACGGATAATACGTTTCGGTACTTTGATAGATTATTAAGTACACATTATAGTCCATGATATTGAGATACCAAAATGATTAACATAATTATATAATGTATAACAAATTACACAGCAAAAAGCAAAAGCAAAAAGGAAAACGCATGAGCAACATAAATGCTGTCAGGTAGTAAGCTTTCAATAATTATCGAAACTGCTTAGTTATGAGCTAATTGCAATCACTACAATTTTCTATAGTCTACCCAAGAGATGGAAACAAAATAGGTATTTTATGAAAATTATAAGCTAATTGCAATCATTACAATTTTCTATAGTCTACCCAAGAGATGGAAACAAAATAGGTCTATTATGAAAATTATAAGCTAATTGCAATCACTACAATTTTCTATAGTCTACCCAAGAGATGGAAACAAAATAGGTCTATTTTGAAAATTATAAGCTAATTGCAATCACTACAATTTTCTATAGTCTACCCAAGAGATGGAAACAAAATAGGTCTACAGTATATTCCGTCGGGTAACTGAAATTGGAGAAAACGTCCGTATGGGAGAATACCTGTATTCCGAATCAAAAAGAGGTCATACCAAGTATGTGCATGTTCACACATTTACAACAGTAATTTACTCCGGGAATCATTACTATATTGTAATAATATGTTATGAAAGTATAGATAAATAAATTTGTTCAGTTATGATCAGTCGGATAACTCATACAAGTGAACACTGAAATTAGGGACCTACCGGTTCATGTCTGTGTGAACACATCTGTCTGTGTTATATTGTAATTAGCAGGGTCTCCTTGTAAAGCATATATAAGAAGTGTACCTAAGGTCAGTTATTTAAACTGTTATGTAATTTCCATTACAAAAAGTATAAACGATATTACCTACTGGTCAGAAAGACTTATACGTGCCCCAACACCGACCCACCACCACCATCCCACCCTAGGGCTACCCCATGCCACACCCTTTCCCTCGCACACACACACACACTCCCTAACATACATATCAATCTGGCCCATAGACCCGATATTTGAACCCTTTAAACAGACATCATGTGCATGTCAAGAAAGACACGCACGTTATTAGTGGTGCTCAGTCATAGGTATCACTTCACCATGTGTTTCTAATTATCTCAGTACATTATGGCGTGGTCGGATGCGCTAATGAACCCCATGTGACAGTTATATTACAGAACCATTCAAATACATGTTAAAGTAGTGTCAATCTTGTAACACTCTATTTACCCATTCCCAACCATTTACGCATGTACTAAACACATGACAAATCTAACCCTGGTCATACGAGATTTCAAGGGTATTGAAATGCATGTCCTATAATCACAGGATTTACATATGTTACACATGTTAGGAAACACATGAAAACAATGGCCAGATTTACACACCTGTGAAATACATGTAAATGCAGAGTTGAATGTTCGTTTATTTAACACCCCTTTAAACGTGTGTAAATCTGACGGCCAGATGATACGTAGATTTCAAACGTTGTTCATATGGCCGCCGGATGAAACGAGTATTTCATGACGTTAGTAAATTTGGATAATACAGTCATTTTGTGTGGTGATAATTATATCGATTGCGTGTGACTGGGCCATCGATAACGAAGGGTATATTGTCTGGGTGTTTTCAAATCACCGTCGCGGGTTTAATGTTGTCTGTCGCCAGGCAACAACAGGTATTTTATCAGGCACCGGAGACAGAAACAAGGCAAATTAAAAGATGTTACTAAAATATATACAATCCGGTAATAACATCATCTCGGCCTCCGGATCATCCGGCTTGATTAGTCTCTGACATTGACGTTACATGCTGAATTACGTAATCTACTAAACTAGACAGGTGTTTTGTGTGAAGGCCGTTCAATGTTTTGGTCGATAATTCGATGATTCATCATGCAACTGTGACGTATTGCGACGTGGAGGTACACCTACGTCCTCGCGGATTATTAATACTATTTATTAACTGTACGCTCATAACAGCGTTTTTTCCGAAAGGTCCGGTTGCAGCCAAGGGACAAAAAACACGGTAGCGGTGCGGCTCCGAGTGCAGGTATCGACCCTGCTGGCTGTATGAGAGACGACATGCGTAGGCAATCGCTTCATCATGCATGGATCATTGATTATTACCAATTCTACCATGGCTACGTGAAACGCTCGATTTTGATTGGTCAAGCCATAAAATCAGACGGTATCAGTTTGTATTGAAAATGAGTCTGATTTCACCGCGCTTCACTGCTTCACTGCTTCACTGCGCACGTATACAACACTGCCGCACTACTTCAGCTTGGCCACCAACATGACTAATATCAACACAACAGACGTGATGGATATGCTGATGAAACATTTATTAAAACTCGAAAAATACGATTTCTCATCCACAATTATTAGGGGACCTCACTATCATAATTATTACCTTCTATTTTAAAAATATTCAAACTCAATTACAATACACAGCCCCAAACATAAACAAACAATATCTAACATATAAATCAGAAAAACCTTGTAAACATACATCCCTATCTATCCCTATTTGTGCGGCAAAACGTTCGTAAACATTTACCTACCTGGTAAATGGTATATTTGTTTCCGTTTAGAATGGGAAATTCGCAGGATAACGGTCAGGCGAAACAAACAATTTGCCACTCATACTCCATCATGTCCCGTTGCATCGTTCAAAATGTCAAAAACTGAACCATGAGAATTCAGTTCTCTGCCACCTTCCCCGAAGGCTGTCACTGCAGCTATGTTCGTACACTTTGAAAATCTTGGCCACAATCCAGTCCAAAATGATGAGAACAATGTTCCAAGGAATCCCAAGTTAGTCGCATGTACACAAAGCAGCACTGTCACTTTTCCTCGCATGCAAGGTTGGAGGCACGTACGTGAAATCATGATCGACACTCGCCGGTCATAAAAAATTAACAGTCTTTGATGACTTAGAGGTCATAGGTCGATCAGAAAAGGATCTATTCTTCGATTCTGCAGGGTTCAGGTTCGACAGTCAGTCAAGTATTTTCCACTGTCACTTCCAATTTCAACCTTTAGCAATATGTAAACACTGGCTCGTCCGCCATTTCAAACTGTTGCGTAACTGTCTACTTCCAAGAAAATAAGTAGGTCAGACGATTCCATTATGGTGTGGACAGGGGGGGTACAGTAACACGGCACACAAAAACATAGGCTGGTTTCAGTCTTCTGGAGTTATAATTTTAAAAACCAAGCTCTTAGGTGTTGCATTATTGCATTGAATAAACAGTAGTTTGTTTTCTTTGGACAGAATATTTTTTATGTTGCAAAACGTTAAAAAAAATACGAAAGGAACCTACCACTCCTTTATCAGACGAGTTCAATTCGCTTCTCATCCCATCCCATGTCTTCCACAGGAGGAGGAAGTTCGATGTTAAATCAGTTATGGTAAACCTCACGCTACGCGTTCGGGTTCAAATGAAATTTAGAGACTATCAATTCGGTCTAACATTCATCTAATTTCCAAACACAGTACGTTTATCTCCTTAGTGATCTAAAGTTTAAAATTTCATTAAATGTGTTACACAATTTGTGAAGAAACATATATATGTTTCCTCCACCCGCTGTCCTCACTGGCTGAGTTTGGAGAAGAGAAACACATAGAGGAATGGCCTAATTCTCAGTCACAGTGCACAAGATGAGATGCATGCTTGAGCGCCAATGATAGGGTCATGAATTAACATCTGTAAGTGTTGGCAGACATCAAATCACCTGCTGTTAGTTCTCACACAGTTAGTTAGCACACACAGTACACACGCACATCACACGCACGCGCGAACACACCGACCAGGAGAATACACTTTAGCATAATTAACCTATGATAAAATCACCGCAGACATAATTCTGATGTTCATATTTTACAGGTCCAGTACCCATGGAGGAACTGAGATATGGACCCTTGACAATCGTCTTCCTGTTGAAGACAATCGCAACAGTCTACAGTAAGCAACACTCATTTGCATTCAAAGAAAACAGACAATCTAGCTACGATAATATGTGGTTACTTCCACATATGTTAATTATATCATTTTGCGCGAAGGCCAAAAATGCTTTGATTAAGTTTCATGATTTATGTTATCGACTTGAAGAATAAACTACCTTCATTGCCAGAAAAAATGGTCTAAGAACGGGTTTAATGTTATGTGTCAAATAAAATGAAATAGTATTGTATTTCAGGTCTATCTCTTTGTCCTTAACTGACGAGACCACAAGTTGCTTGTTTGCCCGCCATTAACAATATCAGTGATCATGTTATCTCCAGTACAAATTTTACCCTTGGAGACCCGGGCTGGAATTGGTCTTCAGTAGGGATGCGCAATATAACCGGTTTACCGGTATTTACCGGTTCAGACATGAAATGATACGTATTGCGATACGCTGATCGAAAACACTCGGCAATCTTCGGATATTTCCGTTTTTTTAAATTGTTCCTTTCCTTGTTTCATTTGTGCCAAACATTATTTACATTTTTATTTTGTCATGATTAAAAAAGTTTTTATTAACGCCTAATCAAGCATTGTGATTTTGTTGTGTTTTTACTTTATAAATCAAGCATTAACTCGATTATACGTATTTTTTGTTAAAGAAAACTTCTTGCAATATATTTCAATACATATCGCAATACATGCTTTCGCATTACAATTTATCACAATATGAAAATTCCTTGCAATACCAACCCCTAGTCTTCAGTAACCCATGCTTCTCGTAAAACACGCACGTTCACGGAAAAAAATTCCGTCGGTATTCCGCGGGGTCAAACGGCAATCTGTAGGTATTCCGCCCTTTCTGCAAGTTGTTTGTACTCATTCCTTATATGAACGCACATACCGCAAGTCTTCCGCGAGTATTCCGCTAACCTTCCTTCACTTTCCGTGTGATGTAATTCGGCCACGGATTAATTGCGTTCACGCACGGATGAAAACGGAATACTCTCGCTCACACGAATAGCACGGAATACACACGGACCACCGCGGGAGAATTACGGACGTAACGAGGAACATGGAGGAATGTTCACGGAACGATTACGGAATGGTCGCGGAACACAATTAACGTTTGCGGAAGACTATAGGAAAGTACTGAACACTTGCGGAATAATTGCTCCTGGTATAAATACTGGCGAGGTTGACTGTCTGCCAATCATTTGCAAGACATCTCTGCTGCAAGTCACTATGCAAAGAGTCAAGAAGAAGGGTACCAAGAGAGGGAGGTCTCCCCCACCAGAACCCTCACAAGCTCCAGAACCTGCTCCTGATGCCCATGAGATTGATGCAGAATCAGATGTTGCTGGTGTTGTTGAAACTGATGCCGCCAGTGCCCCTAGCAAGAAGCCCAGAGTTTACATTAATCTCAACATTAACTCAGGGCAGCCGAGGAAACCACAAGTCTGGTGGAACCGATTCATGTATAGAGCTGATAGAGCAGTTGTTATAACTGTTTCATTACATTTTCAATGGTGATTCTAAACTTTTGTCTGGTTGTATAAATCAAATTATCTCTTAGCCCTTAAATGTGTTCACACCTTTTTGTCCGGTACTGATTGTGATGATGTCTGTAGCATACACTTTTCCAACTACATCCAAACCGTATTGACATCAATTCTGTCGAACAAAAGAAAGTGAACAACATTGCACATTACATACAAAATTAAACTCTCTTTTATTGCTTTCACATTCTTTTGTCCGGCACTGAATGGTGATGATGTCCAGCTATCAACACATAAGTCACAAGTTTAAAACCCGACATAACGTGTAAGAAAAACATGACAAAGGAATCATTTTAACAACATTTTAATGCAAGAATGAGTAAAGGAGAAAACACGAATTCATATCGCAATAATTTACAATGACATAGCATACATAAAGTGTCCACTGAGTGAGGTGATACTGCTTCAAGAGCCCAGAGTGCATATTATGTATGAAGGGAGTAGCGTCAATCCATCTCGACACAATAACACTTGAGCCTGTCTGATGACATATGGTTGCCAAGCAACTTGTCCCACTTCACTGTTGAAGTAGAGTTTCAGATACTCTCGCTGTTTCTTGGCCTCTACAGTGTCTCTGTTGGAACCCATCACATTGGCTAAATCATGCATATTGGCCATCTGACGCCACTGCCCAGGGATGATGTTGAGGTCATCGTCTTCTCTGTCTACAAGTACATCCTGGTTGGCAATGTACCTCGTCCTCATGATGTTGTGAAGGCAGACAGCAGCTTCGATTCAACCATACTTCTCACGACGTCTGGTCCTGGTTGCAATGTAGATAGAAGGAATTGCCAGCGATTGGCCAAGATGCCAAAGGCATTCTCAACGACTCTGGATATCCTGTAGTTGAACACCAATTCTTCCTCTGTAAGGCCTCGTCTGGAGTATGGCATCATGAGGTACTTTCTGAGGGCAAAAGCATCGTCCCCCAGGAGGTAGTATGGCGTGTCAGCGTCGTCGTATGATGGCTGCGTCTTCGATGCATTCTTTAAGCTCTGAGGCATTGAATATCTGGGCATCAGACATGTGGCCCATCCCACCGACATCTATCCACAGGAACCTGTAGTTGGCGTCTACCAATGATAGCAGAACGATGGAGAAGAAGCCCTTGTAGTTATGGTACAGGCTTCCACTTGATGGTGGTTTTCGAATGGCGACGTGCTTCCCATCCAGGACTCCCATGGCATGAGGTAGGTTCCTTTTATCCTGCAACTCCCAGCTGAGTGATCTCCATTCCTGCTCAGTATGTGGACACTGTATTACTTCGTCTTTGTATTGATCAATGATAGCCTGACAGACCTCGGGTAGGAAGCTTGCGATGGTGTGGCGAGATACCCTGAAGTTGTAGGCCAGAGTTGGATACTTGTCGCCAGAAGCCAGGTGACGCAAGGTGACAGCTAGTTTTAGACCAGCGCTGAGTGCACTTCTGAAGTTGGTGTCCTTCTTTGTCAGTCGGGCAGCCAAGAGGTGGGACCCGGAGATAATTGAAGAAGGATTGCTTGTCTTCGAAACGGAGCTCTTCCATGAGATTGTCATAGTTCCCAAAATCAATTCTTCGTTCCACCTTCAGCCATGGACGTACCCAGAAGCGTTTGGGCGTGTATGCCCTTCTCCTTTGCCGTCTTCTGCGGTGTATGACTATGTCACGTTGTTCTTCGTTGTATTCGTGAAACAACAACAGCAGTTGGAGCAACTCCAAGTCAGCCTTCTCTGTAGTTTGGTCCATTTGGGGGAGCTTCTTCAAGTGTTTCCAGTACGTCTTCGCTTGCAGAATTGAGCTTCCTTGGTCGATTCCGCGTGTTTATAGGCGGAATCAGGTGAAAATCATTTGATCTTTGCCGACTTCATCTGCAGAAATGACGCGTTCGTTCCGAAATTGAACGTTGTTGATGAGGGTCTTCCGCAGTCATTCAAGCTACAACGCAAATATTCCGATGTTATTCCGTGTGTTACCGCAATTCTTCCGAAGTTCTTCCTTCTCAAACGGAATAATGCTGTAGCTATTCCCCCAATGTTCCGTGGTTTCCGTAGGTGTTCAAAACACTCCAAAAGTCTTCCGTAGCATTCCGCACACATTCCTACTTGTTCCGCATTTCTTCCGTGGGGTATTCCGCAATTAATCCTAGGTTCTACCGTAGTTTTGCCGCAATTGTTCCGTATATTCCGTAAACGTTCGGAATGTATTCCGAAGGAGTATCAAATTACAATTTTCCGTAGGATTTTAACCAATTTTCCGTGCAAAAAAACCCGAAGACTATCCGTAGACTCCATTCCGCGCACATCCACGACGATCCTTCCATGCCGCCGTCCAGTGAAATGGGGGTATAAAAGATGTTTTTAACAGAGTTGATTATAATTTAATTATTGAGGGTTTTTAAAAAAAAAAAATGAACTGATTGATAAATTTTGATTGATATGCTTTGTAGATAGCAAAGGTACTGTAAGTTCCCATGGTCCCTAGTATGGTGATCAACCTTCAGTTGCTGGTGATCTATATCCTGTTTTTATATTGTACTCTTGTCTCTAGTGATCTATTTTTATGAATGCGTACTCGGTTTAAATTAAGAGCTGTGATAATCTAGTATTTTTTTCTGTCCCTTGATGACATTGTTTTACATTCTAAATTTAGTGATTTTAATATTGATATAAATTAAATTGTTATGTTAACGATATGGCTGCAATATTGCCAATGTGACGCTCAGTCGAAACTCACTCACTCACTCACTCACTCACTCACCCAATTGCATAGATCGATGCTCATGCTGGAGTATTGCTGAGAGCGGCGAAAAACTAAACTCACTCACTCATATACAAGGAAACGTCAACTTATAGTTCGCGGTTTTATTTGTCTTTACAACACGCTGACTTTAAACTTTTACTGGTTTTCCAACCTCTCCGTACATTTACTGTCAACATTAAATCTCAGGTACAACTGAACTTATCTGTCCACCAATCAGCGAGCTGGGTTCCGTTGTGACCTTGACTTGCATTGGAGCTGGTGCGGCCCACGCGCATGCCTACTCAACACCTGGCGGAAATACTGCTGCCTCCTGCGATCTGAGAGACGGACAGTGTATAGACTTTGGAAACTTCAACTCAGCTGTCCTCAATGCCAGTCAAAGTGTTCTGACAATACCCCATGCACATAAGACACATGCAGGTGTGTGGAAGTGTGTCAACGATGCAGACTCTACAACGCCAACAACGTGTAACGTCGTCATTGCAAGTAGGTATTAGTTACCCTAGGAAACACGTAAAATAGTTCACGTGTTGTTAACAAATAATCATACATCACCCCACAGAAAGTTGTCAGTCATTGCACTGTTTTACGAGTCTGTGCGGGGCGTGGTAGGCGAGCTGGCTAAGGCGCCAGGCTAGTGATCCAGCGATCTTAATGTGTCGGGATCGAGCCCACTTGTGACCGGGTGTAAAAACCTTGGAGTCAACTTTGTGTGCAGACTCTTTCGGTGTTGACCCAACCCTTAGTGTAAAGTACACAACCTTGTGCACTTAAAAGAACCCACGAATCCGATGGTAAATGACCAGATGGTGGCCACATGAATACTCGCAGACACCTAGTTGCAGGTACAGCAACGTGCAGTAAACTTAGACAAAGTACTCAACTGTGACTATGTGTCCCAGTCAGCCCAGCTGTGAATGGGTACCTCGTAAGGATGAAGAAGCCGAGAGTTGTATGATCCCGGGGAGTTGAGATTGATAATACGATGTGCCGTTGAGGCTGATATCCAATGATCGAGGGGGAACATACCAGCGCCTTGAGAATGCACTATAGTTTGGCATGAAATGCATGTGGACCCGGTTTTTTGTAAATATCTCTTCATCCAATGATCCAATCGATCTCAAACTGTGCAAGTGGATGTTTTGTTAGACAACCTAATCACATAGTAAATCACCGATTTTATGCATTTGTATTAAAGAATCTGTCTATGTAACTGTCAACAAAATAAACAGCAGAACGCAGAATGCTTGCAGAGGGAGGGAGCCAATGACCTGTAACAGTGGCAGTGGTGGGTCATAAAGGTCAATGCACGTGCAGTCCATGATAGTTACCTGTGCACTGCACAGTGATAGACTGTTTGGATCATTCACATTGACTACTTCTAACTGTCAAAGCTTGAGGAGCAAACAGTTAATCCAGTTGTCATTCGTCTGGACACTGATGACTCCTCTGTGGAAGAATGGAGTGAACTTGATGAAGTTTAATTCTGTTATTATATTTACAGATAATAATATATAGTATCCAGCCAGATATGCTCAAAGAAATATAACTTCTTTTAACAATGACAGCACTGACTAATTCCAACGACTTATAGTGTAACATGAAACACTCATTTCACATAAAATTATCATGAAAATATAAATATTAACTATCTGTATGCTTAAAGCTATTAGAAATGCATCGCTTAATTTGGAATGTGAACGACATCAAAACATAACACTTTTGTCTTCATTCTATCTTTTCTTCAATGGGTGTCCATGATTGTGTGTGCTTGTGTCCGAGGGAACGGGGCTTTAACAGTTGTTGGTGTTCCGATTAATGATTTAGTGTAAATATACTTTCTGCGTTCTTTAAATGCATTTCCACTTAGGTACTGCATAAACAAAATATGACATTAACATTACAAATTTAAAGATTTTAACCTACAGAATAATTCTCATTAATGGGTTTTGTGGTTAATGTTGAACAACTCAGAGAAACAAACTCCGTATGATGGTTAACAGTTGGCACCCACCTTACCCTATTGACGACCTGTGACACCTCTTCATACCTGTCACGTGCATAGCTGACCTACATTGGCGAACGTTGACCTATATGACCCAAAACTGCCGCTGTTACAGGTCATTGGCTCCCTCCCTCTGCAAGCAGTCGGCGTTCTGCTGTTTATTTTGTTGACAGTTACATAGACAGATTCTTTAATGCAAATGCATAAAATCGGTGATTTACAATGTGATTAGGTTGTCTGACAAAACATCCACTTGCACAGTTTGAGATCGATTGGATCATTGGGTGAAGAAATATTTACAAACAAACGGGTCCACATGCATTTCATGCCAAACTATAGTTGCGTGGATATGTACGCTTTATATATATTCTATAATAGATATCCTATATTGATGATAATAATAATATAGATACAGTCAACCACTCCTGTGTCGACGTTAGAAAATTGATCGTGTTATCCAAGGTTCGATACAACCCTCTCATTTCAGAGGGACCATCATGCACCATGACTGGCGATAGGAATACAAGTGCACTTAGAGTTGATGACGTCATCACGCTGACGGTGAACATCAACGACTACTTCTCGACCGAGCTTGCAAGGATTGCCCTGGTTGTTGGAAATATTCAAATAATCTCCATCAGTAAGTTCGTTACCGAAATGACGAACGAGACACTCGTGACAACGTTGCAGCTACGCGAGGGTCATTTCGGAAACGTGACGATAACCTTCGACAGCGTTGATAAGAACCAAAGTCAAAGATGCGGCCGTCTTGACCAACTGATTTCGGGTGAGTTATATTGTTGCTATGGATTCTTTGACATAAATTCTATTTGTCTTGTAGGGCTGTGCGGTAGCCTAGTGGTTAAAGCGTTCGCTCGTCACGCCGAAGACCCGGGTTCGATTCCCCACATGGGTACAAAATGTACATGTGAAGCCTATTTCTGGTGTCCCCCGCCGTGATATTCCTGGAATATTGCTAAACGCGGCGTAAAACCATACTCACAACATGTCTAGTAACTGTTTTCATGCATCCCTTCAGTGTTATCACTACTGTTACAGCATTTGCACCTATTTAAATCTATTTCATCATATCCTTGAGAGTGATTATTCTCCGGTGTCGACCTTCAATAGTAGTTATTACAGTCCGTTTTAGTCAGAACGGACCGATGAATTGCAGATTTTATCATTGTACATAATTGCCACATAAATATAAATAGTACACATGTTTATCAGTTACTAATACCCAACAGCTTTCTTATACTTGAAAATTTTCCGGACTCCACCAAAAAAGTTCTTTAAGAAACTATTTTAATTTTGACACAGTTCACGATTTGTTACGTGGGAGGAGTGCAGAGAAAGGGACAGCCGGGTGTGCGAGAAAGGATGGAGACGGCACAGCGAAGGTTAATGAATCAATAACTTTGTCGGCACTTGTGCACGTGCTTCTCTAACACCTGGCTGTCCCTTTCTCTGCACTCCTCCCCCGTAGCAAATAGTGAACTGTGTCAAAAGTTTAATGATAGTTTCTTAAAGAACCTTTTTGGTGGAATCCGGAAATTTTTCTAATATAAGAAAGCTGTTGGGTATTAGTAAATGATAAACATGTGTACTATTTATATTTATGTGGCAAGTTTGTACAATGATCGGTCCGTTTCTGACTCAAACGGACAGTAGTACTAATTAACCAAGAGGAAGCTGACACAATTTCGTAAACAGAACCGTAACCTAAATTCGTGGATAACCTTGAATCTAATTGTCCAGCACTGAGATAAATAGTCCAAGATCACAAATGCCACTAATGCCAAATTATATTTTTTTACACAGTGTCAAGTAAAACGACTCAGTTAGCACCAGCCTCACATCTCGTCGTCTGCTTTCCCAGGTGTCAATACTTACTGCAATATGCTTAGTGATATATAGCAACCGACGTAATCCACGAAACAAGGTGACGTCACATTTTGTGTGCACACGAAAGGGTGATGATTGCAAATGGGTTCAGTAAACAAACTTTCATTCACGAGTGGAATATCAGGCATTTTCAGTTTTACTGAATTAATGAATAAAATAATCAGTCAAATATTCAAACAGTCTATAATCAAATGAAATCGTGCATTTAAAATATTGATTTTCGCCGCATTTCCCTTATATCCACGATTCAAGGTTAAGCGGGTGTATATTGTTTAATGACGAGGAACAAATTCATTCAGATAGAAGTTGATTTAACCTCGAGAAATGATTTCAGTTACATCACTGCGTATCAGCTTCACGTGGAGGAAAATCACTTGATGCATGTCTCAGACGTTCAGCATCCATGAAACCCCTGAATATGGGCATGGTGCAGGCAAACTGAGAAATATGGTTGGGGCGAGTCCGAGATACGAACCCACGGTCATAGGTTTCTTCTTCAGCTGAACATGAAAGAGGCCACAACATATACGCCAAGGCCAAAGACTTCCCTTTGAAACTAGGAACGTTTAAACGCTGGAGTGAGTGAGTTGGGTTTTAGCAATATTCCAGGAATACCACGACGGGGGACACCAGAATGGGCTTCACATGTACACATTGTACCCATGTGGGGAATCGAACCCGGGTCTTCGGCGTGACGAGCGAACGCTTTACCCACTAAGCTATCACACTGCCCTTTTTTACTCTAGAAGAGCTTCAAGACTGCAAGTACCTACATTATGCATTGCATTATAAAAATGTAGACTAAATTTGTTTTATTTTCTCAACAGCAGCCACTGAAACAGGAGAAACATCACCAGCACCATGTCAGATATCTGATAGCAGCGACACACCATGCATCAGAGGAGACCATCTCGCCATCTCTATAACCTTTATGCTCACTGTGTATACGAGTGCATCTGAAATAATCTAGATCAACAGTGACGTATCTTATAATGACGCAGATCAATAGTAACGTATCTACAATATAATGCCCCTGATCAAGGGACGTATCATGTAAAGACGCAGATCAATAGTAACGTATCTATAATGCCCCTGATCAAGGGACGTATCATGTAATGACTCAGACCAATAGTAACGTATCTTTAATGCCCCTGATCAAGGGACATATCTTATAATGACGCAGACCAATAGTGACATATCTATAATGCCCCTGATCAAGGGACGTATCATGTAATGACTCAGACCAATAGTAACGTATCTATAAAGCCCCATATCAAGAGACGTATCATGTAAGGACTCAGACCAATAGTGACGTATCTATAATGTCCCTAATCAAGGGACATATCTTATAATGACGCAGACCAATAGTGACATATCTATAATGCCCCTGATCAAGGGACGTATCATGTAATGACTCAGAGCAATAGTAACGTATCTATAAAGCCCCATATCAAGAGACGTATCATGTAAGGACTCAGACCAATAGTGACGTATCTATAATGTCCCTAATCAAGGGACATATCTTATAATGACGCAGACCAATAGTAACGTATCTATAATGCCCCTGATCAAG